TTAATTGTTTAAATAATTGGCTAAAGGTAATGAATTAACATTAGAAGAAGGGAATTAATTAGAGACATTATTAAAGTAGATGATGATAGAGGTAGTGGATAAACACACGTATGCCAAATGAAGAGATAGTCAAGATTGATGGAATTTAATTTTTCATAATTAATTAAATTATTTTTTCTACCCTATTGTAATATTTATCTTTACTATATTAAATACTTATTATTATTATGTATGATTTATTATTAAATATTTTAAAATGGAAATAAAATTTATTTATTGATTACAAGAAGGCATATACATATAATGGGCTTAATAAATAATTCATTTAATTAATTAATATGTATAAAAAATGAATGCATATTTAAAGCATTAAATAATCTAAAATTAGCAACATAAGAATATAAATAAACAATTAACATTAAACAAAGAACCAAGGTTTCATTCTTTTGCACTAGCAAGAATCCATTGGAGGTAATCGTTGATGACTTGATCCTTTTCAAATTCGTTATGCACTGAAGTAATAAATAAATAATTATTGATAATTAAAAGAAATTTCAGTGATAAATAATAAATTATTATGTATGTTCATGATAAGTCCTGGCCATGAACGAAAAGTTTTATTCTGGTAAGAGATCTTTTCATATAATTCTTTCTATGAATCGGGGGAAGTAACTTTATCTTCTGATCCATGACAAATGTAAATTGGCAAAGTTATGCCTACATATTTATTATCTAGTAATTCTTTTCCCCTGGATACCACAGTCACAACTAAAAAAGATTATTGAATAATGCCTGAGATATTTGAAATAATTAATTTTTTTCGAAAATTGTAAATATATATATACACTCCCCTAGCAAAAGTATTTGCGAAATGATAAAATTCGAAAATAATTGCTAAAATTAAATTGCACAAACTTTTTTTTATAGATTCTCCTAAACTAGGACTATCATATGATATATTTTGTGATAAAATTGAAATCCTATATGTAGAGATATTACACTGACAATGAAATTGACAAAAAATAATAAATTTATTCTTAGATAGTTACCTATACTGCATTTGATAAATATTAAAGATAAGATCCCAACTATCTTATATGAAACTAGCTGATTCCTGTGCCATTGAGCATGAAGTATGAAAATAATCTTTCTTTGTGTAATATCTATAAGCTTGTATAATATCAATGGAAATAATTTTTTTAAAAAACAATTTGCCAATAAAGCAAAATATATATAAATTCAGCACTATTCAATAATACTGATATAGATTTATTTTATTATGTATTTCAAATAACTGAGATGAAAATTAATCTTTTAAATTTCACATAGTTAAAATAATTTTTTTTATTAATAACAGTCACGAGACATGTCTATTTACAGGGGTTCAAAATGTTATATATATGATAATTCCGATGTCGATCATTTAAAAAAATTTTATTTTTGCAACAGTTCTCCTCTATAGTAACACCATATTTGTGAACCTATTTATTTATTACTTAGTAAATCAAAAGCAAAGAACAAGAATATTTCTTTATTGAATTATAAAAACTACGACCTTTAATCTTCTCTGGTTAAAAAAAATCTTTGTTTTAAGTTCAAGTAAACTAACCCTTGTAAAATATACAGTTTTTAATAGATTTTATACACTAGCAGTCTATTTTACCAACTTACCACCAATTTTACTAATACAGTAAATCAGTATTTTACAAATTTTTCTTGAAAATTTCATGCAAAATTTACAGAAATAACAAGTAAGGTTTCATTCAAATATTCAATCTTGTCTATGTCTTGTGTTAAAAAAACACTTATTTTATATTCTTACTGATCCAGTTTTTATTCTATTTGTGACACTATCTTTCAAGAAAATATTTCTAAATATCAGTGAATTTATAGCATAATAATTTATTACTTGTTAAACAATGTATATTTTTATTGGTAAAATTTATAATAAAAAAAAAAGTTTAGATAAATATTTTTAATATAATTAAAAGTATTTTTAATAGATGTGTTTATGAGAATTCCTAATGTACTTGGTTGTAATCTGATTTGTATATGACTAAAAATGTTCAAATATAAAAATAAAATATAAGGAAGGAAATATTATATTTCTAAAATTTATAAACAAATATATGATAATGTATTCTCGGTCATCAAATGATATTTTCATTATAAATCATGTGCAGTATTTTTATGTGAAACAAAAACAAAAGCTGAAACTTGTTTGAAGCCCAAAACTTGTTTAAAACTTAATAGGTTTGATTGAGAAACAAATATAGTTGATGAAAACAATGATTTTATTAATTTCTATTTATAATTGTCTCAGTAAAAATAGTGTAATTAATTAATCAATACATGTAAAAAGTGATATAAAATTCAAATAAAAAAACTATAAATAAGTTTTATTACATAAAGTATCAGTGCTTAATAAAATCAAAAAACAAACATTCTTGATTAATTACAATAATTGAATAACTAAACTCTGAATATTTTCCTATATGAATTCTGAATTTACTTCTTATACAGATTCTGAATTTGTTTCTCATATAAATTTTGAAGATATTTCTGATGAAGATAATGAAAAGAATAATTTCATTGTTAATCAAGTTGCCCTTGAAAGTGCTCAGATACTTTAAACAATGATGAAAATGAAGAAACTATTGATTGGAATGAAATTGAGTCTGAAGATTCTCACTTTAATAGTAAACCTTTGGATAATGAAATAGATATAGAAATTGAAGTGATTTCCATTATACATGTTCCCAAAATTGATTTTGAATTTTTGAGATATTTCAACTTTTTGAGATTTATGTAAAATCTATTCTATATATAGAAGTAAAAAAAAGTACTCAGTTATATGTATCTTTAATCAAAGAATAAATCCGGGTAGTCAAAAAATTTCAGGTTTTAAGTAAAATAATTTTATCTTCTATGAAAAACTATTTCAACTTTTTTTCCAAAATTGTAATTTCGGGACCCCAAAATAATTTTGTGTGCAAATATAATTTCCATGCCAGATTCTAACTTAATATCATGTGTAATTATTGATAATATTCAAGGCGAGATAAAATACTGTAATAGTACAAAGGACCTACGACAGTTACAACAAATGATAGGGACATGGGAGATATACGTAAATGTAACTAAAACTTTAAAAAATTGTCCTTATCAACTTGAAGTATGTTATTCTTACTTCTAGTTTGATCAGAATCAACTTCATGATAAAGGCATGAAGAAATTGTGTTCAATTGAGAAGAGTAATTTTCATTTTCAGTTTTGTCTTTTCTGTAATAAGACAAAATGTTTTTTCAGCCATGGTGATAGTTGTACAAAACATTCATGGAGTGTCAACGGATATAATATTCAAGTACCTTGTATTGTTATTTTTAAATACCCCACATTTACTGAAGGACCTATTATAAAAAAATCTTCTACAGGCTATCATGCACGATATATCTGTTTAGCATGTTTTCAGCAATATGGTGGACACTTATTCAAAAGACCAGGCATGGACAGAAAACCTGAGTTATATACTGAAGGTAAGAAACACTGTGATGATACAAGTGATGCTTTAAGACTTATTGGAAAATGGAGGGATCATGAGCTGCAGGCAAAAATTCTGTTCCTGATATCACCATCATTATCTATTTTAACAATAAATCAAAAGAAAAAAATTTGTCAAAACTAGATGCAGAAAAACTTCCAAGTAAGTTACTTGTTAGAATGGTACTAAAAATGGATAAAGTCAAATTGAATATGTTAATCAAGGAAAAGTATAGGATAACTTAAGAAAAGACTTTGTCAATAAGAGAAAAATTAGGAAAAGAAGTATTACATTCACGTTCTATTATTAAGAAAAATATTAAACAATTAGAAAATCCAAGTTCATATAAAAAATACTACAATATATTGTCTAATGTTCTTTGCAGCTTCTTCTAAACTCATCTCATGGTAATACACAATATAAACGAACACTCATTAATATTAAAAGATGTCAACATGGACTTCTCTAAAAATCATTTAATACAAGCCAAATATCCAAAACTACTGCTTTAATAACTTCGATGTTACTTACCATGGCCTTTCCTGGGGTTAAAATCTGACTTTCATATATCATATCATTATTATATCAAAAACTAAAATTATTGTCGCATCTACGAGAAATTTTTCATTCATCATGTGTTGAATTATATACTAAGCGGCATAAAAATCATCTTGAAAAATTAAGAATGGATCAAGTAGATTCTAGAAAAATCTTGATTAAAAGATCAACCATTTGGAATCTAGCAGTAATCGACAATATCAACTTTAAAGCCTCTACATTCTCATATGGCAATATTTTTGATGTTGTGCAACAAACTTTACATGTAACGTTACAGATGGTATTTCAATTCACTCTTTCCACGCATTGAATTGTTTAATTAGAGACCATGAATTTATTGACTAACCACTATTTGGAGAGTTGTCAACTGATAATCTTTTATTAATGTATAAGAACATTTTGGTAGAATGTTAGAAACTTGTATCAATGAATTTGATATGGAAGATATGCACTCAGAAATCACACAACAAATACCTATGGGATCTAATATTTCTCTTTCAAATGTTGTGATATTGGAACCTGGTAAGCAACTTAATTGTGATGTTAATGTTCATGCAGCTTGTGAAATGTATCATGATGATTTATCGCTTGGTAATGATGACTGTCTATATATTACATGTGATCAAGCAATTTTTGGAAGATTAGTCTCCTATAAAGAAGCTCACAGCGACGTACAACTTATTTTAGGACAGTGGCACATATCTAAAGATATGTGTAGTGCT